TGATTTCCTTAAAAAGAATCTGCAATCCCTGGGTGTAAGTTACCTTTAGCCCTGTAGACGTTAGGGGGTGAGTATGGAAAATTAAATGGTCTACAACTTTATTGGGGGTGAATTATTTTATGCCAGCTCATAAGACTGGGTAAAAAGTGGGTAAGAAAATATATCTGGGAGTACGCTTAGGTCAGATGTTTTGCTTTGAAGGTGTTTCAGGCTCCCAGAGTTCAAATGGGATGTTTGTGCCCAAATATAACATCCCCATGACGTAATATCCATCCACAGGGCCTGGGAAACCAACACCATTTTTTTTTTTTTTTTTTTTTTTTTTTGGATTTCACTCTTCCGAGGATTATTTTTAAGACCCAGTGAAGGTGGAAAAGATAAAATGCGATTCATATGTGGCCTTGAGATCGAGGGAGAAAAGTCTGTAATGTAGAGAGTTTTTCCACTTCCCCCCTGTATTCTATTTTTGTTCCTCCAGGTAGCTCAGATAATGATTGGCCTGAAATGTTTCTTATTTGGGATCATTGAGATTTTTCTTTACTGGCACTCTGACTTAAGGAATCTTTTATTCTGCTTTTATATTGGTTACCCGTTCTGGGCTGCAGCATCTGTGAGTATATCTGTTTGAACTACTTTGGGAATCAAAGAAGTTATTTAGAACTTGTAAATAAAGGAAAAATATATGTAATTAGTTTATCCTCTCTTTTTGTAGACAATAGCTGAGACTCCTTTTTAGACTCTGTTAGAGGCACTGTGCCAAGTAGATAGGGAATTTGTTAGGAGAGAAATTGACAAAGCAGCCTCAGGACCAGTTGTAAGTGTTTGGAGAAAAAAAAAAAAAAAAATGCTCCTGAGTCCCATGCTCCCTCCTTTGAAGGGAGAGATCATTCCTACTTGAGAGGATCCAGGTGTACTTTAGATAGCAAATGAGGGGCACCTGGGTGGCTCAGTCGGTTAAGCATCCGACTCCGGCTCAGGTCATGATCTCACAGTTTGTGAGTTCAAGCCCCGCGCTGGGCTCTGTGCTGACTGCTCAGAGCCTGGAGCCTGCTTTGGATTCTGTGTCTCCTCCTCTCTCTGCCCCTCCCCTGCTCATGCTCTGTCTCTCTCTGTTCTTAATAATAAATAAACGTTTAAAAAAAATTAAAGAAAGCAAATGAACTTTCAGGTTGGAATAAATTTGGATAGGTCAGGATGGGGGTAGGATGGGGGTGTGTAGGGCAGAATCATCCATCCTATCCAACTCTATTACGGTCAATGGCATCTACCTTGAGTTCTTGCCTCACTTTCTCTCCACATCAATATTCTTCCATCCACATGCCCCAAATGGACACACATTCAACTTGGTTCGATTCAATGCGTTGTTCTTTAGGATTATTCTTTTGGACTGGGAGAGATATGGGGTTAAGGTTAAGTCATCCAAGGTGGAGGTGGGTGATGTGGATAGGAAAGCGTTCTCCCCCGTTAATGTCTTTCCTGTCTCATGAACAGTTCATCATGTCTGGATCTTTGACCATCTCATGTACAAGAAAACAAACAAAATTTCTGGTGAGTATCAGTTTCCCTTTTGCTCCTTTAATGAGTTAACAAGAACAGTTGACTCTGACTCTCTACAGGAGGCCAAACCAAAACAAGATTTGGATATTCCAGTCTATTTCGTTGACTTGCAACTTTTTCAATGATCTATTTCATTGGCTTGCAACTTTTTCTTCAATCATCTGTTAATTCTTTAGAAAGTGAGACATACACTTAGCTTTTTTAAGAGAAGAAATTATCCAGGGCTGCCTGGGTGGCTTAGTTGGCTAAGCGTCTGACTCTTAACATCAGCTCAGGTCATGATCTCATGGTTTATGCATTCAAACCCTGTGTCAGGCTCTGTGTTGACAGTGCAGAGCCTGCTTGGGATTCTCTCTCTCTCTCTCTCTCTCTCTCTCTCTCTCTCTCTCTCTCTCTTCCTCCCTCCCTCCCCCACTTGCTTTCTATCTCTCTCTCAAAATAAATTAAAATTAAAATTAAAAAAAGAGGAGAAAGTATCCAACTGTCTGAATTTTAGCCTAGTAAGAAGCAAAAGAAGGGGGTCTTGACAGATAGATCCTTGTTTCAATGGTTGAAGAGACGCATTTTGGAAGGCTAAGATGGAGAGGGGTGCATGTTTGTGTTTGTATCAGGGAGCTTCTAGTTCAGGGTGGACATATTGAAAATCATTCCTACCAGTGATATCAGAAGAAACAGAACCCCCATAATGTTGGCTCCATGGGCTTTCATTTCTGGAGGATCACTTCTTCCCTTCTCTCCCATGATGTAGAGTGGCTTGCCAGAAAACTGCTTCAGTAAAACAGGAAATTGAATTCCTCATGAAGGATCCCTTACCTTAGCCCGTGAAGCCAGGGCGTGCCTCCAGGGTACTGCAGAAGATGTGTCTGGAAATACAAAGGGCCCTGAGTATTTCCATTAAAGGCTTTATTCTCTTCCAGATCGAAGTCAGTATTGGAGCTAACATTATCAGCACACTACTTTCAAGCACTGGGATAATTCTTCTCTCCGTGAATTTAGTTGACATAGTCTTACTTGAATGCTGGGAGTTACCGGCGTGTTCGTTGGTTAAATCTTTTATAACTGTAAGTACTAATTTGTTGGATGGTGTCTTCACACGTGATGTTTGTTTTCAGTTACCTCAGCCCTCAGCGACTAAAAGCCTATGATGAAGTTTCTAAACGTTGAAAAGTGATAGGAAAACAAATAAATATAAACATGACATTTGTTTTAAAAAAAAGTGAAACAACCTGATTTCAGAATTGCAGAATTATGTGTGTGCATTTCTGTGTGTCATTTTAAGAACACGTATTCTTATTATTCCAGATTTTCTCTGATGAACATGGGCTGTTCTAAAAAAAAATGATAAAAAGACTGCTCACAGATCAGTGTGCCCAGAGAGGAGGGACCTGATCTGGAACATTGAGGACTGGCCTATGGATTTCTGGTAGTGAAAATGATACAAAATTTGGGAGCTGGTCTGAGTCATTTTAATGTTAATTTAAAAGATCAATGGAGGGGCGCCTGGGTGGCTCAGTCAGTTGAGCATCTGACTCTTTTTTTTTTTTAATTTTTTTTTCAACGTTTTTATTTATTTTGGGGACAGAGAGAGACAGAGCATGAACGGGGGAGGGGCAGAGAGAGAGGGAGACACAGAATCGGAAACAGGCTCCAGGCTCCGAGCCATCAGCCCAGAGCCTGACGCGGGGCTCGAACTCACGGACCGCGAGATCGTGACCTGGCTGAAGTCGGACGCTTAACCGACTGCGCCACCCAGGCGGCCCGAGCATCTGACTCTTGATTTCAGCTCAGGTCATGATCCCAGGCTCATGGGATCGAGCCCTGCATCGGGCTCTGCACTGACTGTGGAGCCTGCTTGGGATTCTCTCTTTCTCTCTCTCTCTCTCTCTCTCTCTCTCTCTCTCTCTCTCTTCCTCTGCCTCTCTCCCCATGCTCTCTCTCTATCTCTCTCAAATAAAAAAATTAAAAAATAAAAGACCAATGGAATGTTAGTAAATCCATCCTTTCTGTGAGTAAAGTTGAGTCACATGATGTGTGTATGTGTATGAACGTGTGTGTGTGAGAGAGAGAGAGAGAGAGAGAGAGGGAGAGAGAGAGGGAGAGAGAGAGAGAAAAGTCCTGGTGTATTCAGTGTTTGACCAATGCGTGTGAAAAAATGGCTGAAATAGGAGTAACTAACTCCAGAATGTTAAGGGAGTTCTTTTGCAGAGCTCTGCCATTTAGAATTCCTAGAACTCATATTTGTTTCTGTAGGAGTTTATTTATGGTTGCTCGCTGAGGCAAGGTTTGTGCCAGACCCAATATTGTGTCTCAATGGAATGTGCATATCTTGGATAGGAAGTGCATTGTCCTCAAAATATCCACTAACCCTGACCCCTTGCCCCGCGGACAACCAGGATGAGCACATTGCAGACTAAAGCTGGTTGGGGAAATCTTAATTCTTGCCCTTCTCTTCTGCAGAATATTGTGATCCTTCAAATGATACTGACTTGTGTGCAGATTTTTATTTCGTTCTCACTCTGTGGGCTCACTTATACCATGGATGGCAAGGAGATCAGCTGGGTGAGTAGCCTTTTTTATTGAGAAGGTGAGGAAGCATTTAAAGCATCACAAAGAATCAGATGTGTTAATAGTTAACTTCAATCTCTGGTTGTATAGAGAATCGGCAAAAACAACAACAACAGCAAACACCCCCCAAAAACCCTCTTAATGGCAAGATGGGAGATGGGAGGTTAGAGAACAACAATTACATGTTACATTCACTAGCCACTCCATTTTCGAAATATTCCTTTGTATAGATACTTCGTTCATAGTCAGTTTCCCTCATTCACTCACACATGTATTTCTTACTCATCCATCTAAAATATACTGAACATGTATTACATTTACTGTGTTGGGAGATGGGGCAACAGTGGCTTTTCCCCTTTCTTTAACAAGTGGATGTCATAATAGATCGAATAAATACTTAAGGAAAAAAGTAGCAGCCAAGTAAGAGATACAATAGCTCTAGGAACAGCTAAGTGTGATTTCGATATTAATTCCATACCTCATAATTTTTCATGGAATCCCATCAGTCATACACACCCCAACACGTCAATGTGCTCACACACACAGACGTATTCATACGTGTATATGTAGTCTCCCACATCACCACGTGTGCGTTCCTCCATATTGATTCTGCAAAGCCCTCGTAAATGGTTGGCCTTTGCTACATGCAAAATGTCATACTGATATTTCTGTTTCCACGTCCCTAGGATAAAAGTCAGGGGGACATATCTCATTGTGTTCACGGATAGCATTTTATTATTTTTTATGGAATGACTGTCTCTCTTGCTACTACTCAAATCCCTGTAGATGCTGGCATGGACTGTTGGCTACATAAATACCTGACAAGATCACCGAAAAAAAAATGTATTTTACGGTGGTTCCAGACATGGCTAGAATTGCCCTATCTCTGCCTAGGCTGTTGTGAAAACATTGGCCTGCCAGGGTGTTTCAGCTTTGGCATTGTAGACATTTTGGAATGAATAATTACGTGTTGAGGGGTGGGGGGAGGTGGGGGCATGATCTGTTTAGCAGCATCCCTGGCCTCTATCTGCTTGATGTCAAAAATTCCTCCCACCCCCAATTTTGGCAACCAAAAATGTCTTCAGACATTGCTAAATATCCCCTGGAGGGTAAAGGTACCACCAGTTGAGGATCAGTGGGCTATACAGAACACTGCAGCAAAAAACTTACAAGATCAAATAAAAATCACTGAAAATCTGGTTGAAGTAATTGTCGATGTTGTGATGTCCTATTTCTAGGCTTCTGCACTAAGTTGCTTGATCAGATCACATTCTGAAGATCCTTATCAAGACTTACTGACTCAACCTGAAACCTACGAAGATTTAGTGCTTCAAGACGTAGACCAGGTTCACTCTCATCCGTGAGACACCATCGAAACATTTTTTACCACACCAGGGCATCTTGGATCCATGATGGCAACCAAAGACAGATCTGATAGGAATCTTCTACAAATCCCCTGCTCCCCATGTCTTTTATTATGCACTTTCACATACACAGACACAATTGGCACGGATATGTGCTTAATTTCACAGGTGACCAGCAAATACTAATATTAGCATTCCGTGGCCTAGTAGACCTCTTTTCATTGGGACGGTATTACCATTTTTGAGCCAATTTCAGTTCTTAGGCCTCAGAGAGGAATTTGTTGTTAGCCACTTACTCCTTCCTAGAAACTGTACTTCCCTCTGGGTTGACAGTTTATTCAAATGAAAAATCTTTGTGCAAATAGTTTGGGTGAGTAGTGGCATACCATCTGACACTGGGTCCAATCTAAGTTTCTTTGACTGTTGAATGTACTAGGTCTGCCTTGCTTGTGTCAAGGTGAACTTGACAAAATGTAATGCGATACAAAATGCACACTCTAATGTATGACACATAGTAAAAATCTAATGCAACCTCATTATTACCTGAATGCTCATTTAATCAACCTACTGCTCAATCTTTTTTCTTTTTTTTTTTAATAGTGTTGCTTTCTTCTTGGTGACTGGGTATCATGGTGTTTTGTTTTTGTTTTTGTTTTTGTTTTTGTTTCATAAGGCACTATCCAGGGTTTGGTTTATCAAAGGCAAATTTTTAGATTAGGATTTGTGTGTCTATTTTTTAAGAAGCGAAGAAAAACATCAGTAGGGAGGAAGAGAAGATAGAAGATAGCCAAATGAAGAGAGCAGGGGTAGACTGCTCAGGCTGCCATAAAAGAATACCACAGAATCAACAACGGAAATTTATTTACTCATAGCTCAGGAGGCTGGAAGTCCCAGATCAAGGTATCAGCTGGGTCGCTTTCTCTGAAGCCTCTTTTCCTTGTTTGTAGATGGCTGCCTTCTTGCTGTGTCCTCACATGGTCTTTCCTGTGTATATGTCTGTGTCCTAACCCTCCTGTGATAAGGACACCGGGGACAATTGGATTGCATAAAATATGGCTTCATTTTATCTTAATTAGCTCTTTAAAAGACACCATCTTCAAATACAATCCCCTTCTGAGGTATTGAGCATCAGAACTTCAACGTATACATTTTAGGAGGACACAATTCAGCCCATAACAAGAAAATGCAACCAGAAAAATATACCTTAGCGAGCCAGTTCCACCTGTATACGAAGTGGATCTTAGTTTAGAAGGGAAAATCTAGGAACTATATATCAACTCCTAGCTGTCGCTATTTAAAAGCTGTTCTCAGGAATTATTAATTCCCTGGCAATATCTTCCTGCCATGTACATATGTAGGACCTACCTCTCTGGGGTTGGAGAAAGTCCTCAGGCAAAGAATCAAGAGTGTGCTCTAGAAACAAGGCCTGTGGGACATGGGTTGGTCACTGACCAGTGTTGGCCAAATCATGTCCTGCTCAACTACACTCATTTCCTACGCTAGAGCCTTTTTTCACATGAAAACTTCTCAAAAAAATATATATATATTGCAATAGAGTAACAAACAATGGTACCCACAGCTACAGTTGTTCTGAAGCTTCGATAGTATCCATCAATTCCTTCTTTTAAGCTCCATTTTAGATTCCACGCACCCTCACTCAGTACTTCTGATTGTCTCAATTTCTTCTCCATTAGGGCAGCCCAGACATCCTCCTTTGAGAGGTCTGAGCCTCTGGTTTCATGCCTCCTCCAGGCCATGGTTGTTCCATTTACCTATTTGTGGTTATTACGAGACATGGAAACATCAGGAGGCATCCTGGTGAATCCCATGAGTTCCTGACATACTCCTTTACACCCCTATCACTTAAGAGCAATACTAATTCCTTAAAGAAAGTGGGTTCTATAGAGTACCTTCTTTCATTTTCTTCTGATTCACTGGTTTGAAGATTCCAAAATGACGCACTGTTACTAGTTTTGGTGGAACCCTTACAGTGTACCTGATAAATGCCTCACCCCTCCCTCATAGGAACCAACACTCTACTTCAGCAGAGAATAAACTTCCGGGAAAAGCATAAACCTTACAAATGGATCACTGGGATATTTCTTGAGAGGGGTCACCGTATTCTATCCATTAGGGTTATAATAATACATAATAGCCACTGGCTCAGAGATACATATAGCCATTTAAAGGACAAAGCCCCAACTCCCCAGAGTATGACAGAGTCTTGCAGTATATTTAAGAAGTCATTCTGGCATTCTAACAGGAAGAAATTAAGAACTTCTGTTCATCAAAGGACACTCTTGGGACAATGGAAACAGAGGCCACTGACTGGGGGAAAATATTTATAAAACATATATTTGACAATAGTCATGTATCCAGGATACATGAAGAACTCTCAAAACTCAATAACAAAATAGCAAACAACCCAAGTAATACATGTGAAAAATAATTGGATCTGGTGAATCTTCACTTCACCAGAGAAGATGTAGCAATTAGAAATAAGCACGTGACAAGGTACTCAAGATCACTGGTTGTTAAGAAATGCGAATTAAGACCATGAGATTCTTTTATACTCCTATCAGAATGGCTAAAATGAAAAAGACTGATCATAACAAGTATTGGCAAGAATGTGGAGAATAGAAACCTTCATACGCAGCTGGTGGGAAGGTGAAATGATCACACTGGAAAACATTTTGGCAGTTTCTTAAAAATCTGAATACATACTAATGACCCAGATATTCCACTCTTGGGTAAATACCCAAGAGAAATAAAAGTATATGTTAACACAAAGGCATATGTACACAAATGTTCATAGCAGCTTTATTCGTAATAGCTTTCAACCGGAAACACTCCAAGTGTCTGTTAACAAGGGAATACACAGATTGTAACGTATCCAAACAGAGGAATGCTACCACCAAGCAGTAAAAAGGAATGATCCGTCCGTAGACAATGCAACATGGATGAATCTCAATATAATTACACCAAGTAAAAGAAGACAGAAAAACTATATGCTGTATGATTCCATTTATATAAAATAGCAACAGAAAGCAGATCAATAATTTATGGTAATGGGGATGGGGGTGAGGAGGGGCAGGAAATTTGGGGGGAGTGATGTTTCTGTTCATTATCTTCATTGTGATGATGGTTCATGGTTGTGTATATAAGTCAAAACTTTTTGCATGGTAGTCTTAAAACAATGGTGGTGTTTATACACCAGTTGTACCTCAATAAAGAGTTTTGTTCTGTTTTTAAGACATTATTCACAGGCCAGAGGACTATTCCTCCAGAAAGCAGAAGCCGGAAGATAGATAGATGGCTAAGATGAAGACAGTTCTTCAGACAACTTTTCTAGCTGCCTTCACTCTCATGAGAATCAGTGCTCTCTTTACAGAAATTCAGAAATCACCCCTTGTCACTTGTAAAACTAAGAACATGCTCTTTCCTGGCAGGTGAGACACAATTACCATCTGGTTGGGTAGCTTCAAAAAGTTTGGATTCAGGCTCCAAGTCTTCCTCATATTACTAGACCCCGATTGCTCAGTCCTGTGTTTCTAGCTTTCCGTAATGGAGATTAGGTTATATCAGGTTACACACAACCCATCCACTCCCCTGATCTAGAGGGTGAGATCTTATCACACCTCGCTTTAGTTCCCTAAACTCATCTCCTGCTAGAGGAAAACAGCTCTTCTCCAAATATCCAGACAACAGGGAGGAGCTATCTCTGCCCCAGGACTACTCACTCGGGGTGGGTCTCCACCAAGCATGTTATTGACTCTCTAAGAGAGCGAGAAGTGGAAATTAGCTTGATTCTTTCCCCAGTCCTGCAACCAAGAGATGGCAAATGCTACTTTTAAATCTTCTGTGTTCCTTAGTGCAGATGAGGTACGCTGGAAGGTTCCCCTTTTAGGGCCTAATCTGATTGTGAGTGTCAGATGTATATATAAGATAGTTTAACTCTCGTGAGCAAATCATGCCATCCATCAGCTACAGAATATTTCACAACCGAGTAAACAGGGCATACTAATCTTCTTAGATATCGTCTATCTTTGGACAGTCCCTTGAACCAGGCCTTCTTGCAGCCTTGATCGTTTAGAGTTTGAAAGATACAACAACAACTCAATTAAGAGTAAAACAAACCATTAATCAGAGGTCCCAGTTACAGCTATCTATCTAAAATGGGAAACGTTGAGGCACCTGGGTGGCTCAGTCGGTTAAGCGGCCGACTTTGGCTCAGGTCATGATTTCGCGGTCAGTGAGTTCAAGCCCCACGTCGGGCTCTGTGCTGACCGCTCAGAGCCTGAAGCCCGTTTCAGATTCTGTGTCTCCCTCTCTCTGACCCTCCCCTGTTCATGCTCTGTCTCTCTCTGTCTCAAAAATAAATAAGCGTTAAAAAAATTTTTTTAAAAATTAAATGGGAAATGTTTTCAAAATGAAAATTACTAGAGGAAAAAAGTCAAAACAAAACAAAGACAAAGGGGTATTTCTGAAGACTGAGCATTCTGGAAATCAAACTGGGTTTCCTTAAGAAATAATAATATTGAGGACCAAGATTTGTCCTAAGGAGTTCAAATCTATTAAATGAATCAATCCTCACAACTCTTATCCGAGGACAGTGCCTATAAACAATGCTTTTACCAGTTAGGAACAAGAAATCTAGAGAAGTTAAGTGCCTTACACATGGTATGCAGGAAGTAGAAAATGGTGTGATGAGGGTAGACCCTGAAACAGACATATGGAAGTCTAACTCCTTACACATAATAGAAATTCATTTCTCAGGCACACAATAATTCACATTGAGCACCCCTAGCCAGAAGCAGCTCTTCCCCAGGTTGTGACCCAGTGACCCTGACCTCAACCGTCTGGCCTTCACCATTCCTTAGAACCCTATACGTATGTTAGTAAACTGTAAGGAAGGCACAACAGAGGAGGTCACCATGGGAGTCCATGCTCCAGACCTGTCAGTAATGTTCCAGAATAAGGTCTTAGTATAGAACTGCCTGCAGAGGATGCTAAAATGTAGTTAACTCTGTGTCTAGAATGGACGGCAAAATAGACTCTGAGCAAGAGTGAGTTTTCTCCACCACCTGTAATTCTGTTGGCAAAATTACCCACTGGCATTTTCCCATCTCAAAACATACTCACTCTTCTCATCAAAGGAAACAACTCCACCCAGTCAACATACTCGTCCTGAGAACCAGAACCTTTGGGTGTATGTAGTCTGCTTCATCTGTTCCGGCTGTTATTCCTCACAGTCAGAGACCTCTGAATTAAAAAACAGCAACACCAACAACAAATTCGTTTATTTTCCATCGCCCCCTACTCTAATTCGTGTATAGTCAAGGGTGGGAAACAACAGTTCCAAAAAGGGAGGAATGGAAAACATGCAGACGTCCTTGGTCTACAAGAATAATGGAACTCTGTAGGGCCAGTGTCATGACTGTTCCCTATGTTGTCAGTGAATGAGGTTGACTGTAGACAGCCTGCTTCAGTGTGGAATGTGCTTCTAGTCCATCGTCTCCTAGGGCCCTGGCTTAAG